CTAAAATTCAATATTGTAAATGTATTTGGAGAAGATTGTATGTGAGGAACATGATCCTGGAGGACGAGCCAATGTCTGGGTCCCTCCAACAGACCTGAGCCACACAGCTGTCCCTCCAGACACAGACCTGGAAGGACAGGCAGCTACCATGGCTAAATAGATGGCTGAGTTCGATCCCTCTGTTGCTTTATTTACTGATGTGTATCTTAACTCCCTGTTCTATAAAATCAGGTGGAAAGGCAAGTGAACACCTGGCAACAAAACATTATGAGTTCAGGTTATGTGAAGCCCCAAGTTACAGGCTAAGTTCCTACACTGGAAAAGGGCCGTTTGTTTTTTCCAGTCCATGAATCAGTCTGCTCCAGTGATGAGTGAGAGGCTTTCTTCTGTGATGAAGCCCTTTGAGTGACAGAACTGCTGCTGACAGTTGTGATAAATAAAACATTATGCACAGTGATTGCCGTGGTTTGTGAACATTAAAGTGTGACGGACCACTGTGACTGAATGAATGTAGCAGAAACATAGTTGGAACCACACAGCTGGGTGGATTCATTAACAACAAAACAGTCCTCTTCAGAAACCATTACAAGCAATTAGAAAGAAGAAGCTGGAACAACAAATTAAATGTATTCATTAAAAAAACTAATTGAGATGCAAAACATGAGCTTTAGAATATAATTTTTTTAAAATTTGTGTACTTATTCAAAATTTCAGCCAGGTTCTTTGTCTGTCTGGCTTTTAATACTTTTAATAATACTTGTTTACAGTGTTGGGTATCATGTAATTGGGATTTTTGTAGCCTTTATTACCTTGTGAAATGTAGATTGAAAATAATCTGCTGTCACAGCTCACAGAGGCTATATAAGAAACAAATCCTTATATCGGTATGAGAGAGGGAAGTTCTGGAGGATTGCAGTTTTTCTTGGAGGATATCTACTTTCAATTCTTCCTGCGTGTCAGGTGATCTACAGATAGCGGAGCTCAGTGTACTGTAATGTAGTTCTGATGTGAAATCACTTATCTCAGCACAATGAAATCGGGACCAGACAAAGTCTACAGTGTTTACTGTAATGTAGCTCTGTGGATGTTGTTGCCCACAGCAGCAGAAGCCCTGCTCTCTGCAGAGAACTACATGTACAGGATTCCCTTTAAATGATTGGCTCATTCTTTCAAGTGACTTCTGTCCAATTCACTTACCTAAGCTTTGGCCTTCAGTACAAAACGGCAGTTGCTAATGGAAGTAATTTTCCAACCTCACCCTTTTTAGTTTTAGCAAACGTGTTTTCTTTTCCCTTTGCCTTTAGTTGAGATGATTTGATGTTGGTTCATATCTTTCCTCATCTTTCTATCTTTCTATTGTTCTGTTCCTCAGGTAGACACATTTTTGAGATTATAAACAGGTTGTACCAGCAGTTAGTAAATCCATCACTGCTTTGTGTGTAGCCTTCCCTACATATTTAGTAACTACCAGCTACTGTCAGAGTAATGATTTATTAAATGTAATTGTATAAGGAAAGTCTTAACTAATAAAGATCTTAATGTGTAAATCAGTAACATAGTTTGCAAAAATAAAACCAAGTCAAGGAGTTTGTTTAATCAGCTTAATTGTAGGAATATCTTTGTTTTCTTTATTTAACAAACCTTATTTGGCCATTTAGTCAAACACTAACAGTAATGTTTGTGAAGTGTAATATTGTGGTACTCACCAGTGGTGAGATGTCTTGTGATTATTAGTTAATCAAGGTTTTTGTTGATACGTGTCATTGTCTGTGAGTGAAGCCAGTGTACAATATCTCTTAACACTAAAAATGTTTAATGGCTGCAAATAAGGACTATTGTTATTGAATCTGATTTTTTTTTTCCCAGTGATTAATTGTAAGGTCATTTCAATTCTATAAAGCCCAAACTAATGGCTTGAAAAATTGATTTTGTTGAACCAACAGTCTACAACCCAAATTTATTAACTTTATTTCAATATATGACAAAAAGAGCTTGAGATTCTTCATATTTGACAAGCTGGAACAGGAAAATATTTGGTGTGTTTATATTCAAAAATGTTCTAAACAATTAGCCCATTGTCAAAATAGTTGCCAGTTAAATTTGTCTTCATCTATTAATTGTTTTCACTCATTTCTGTCAAGAGTCAGGTCAGATATGTTGACAGTACTTCATGTTAAATATTTATTGACAGCTGATATCTGTGTATGTGTGGTGCAACCCATATTATTGGACACCCAGCAGAGTCGTCGCTCCTGAATAATGATTTCCCATCTTGGAAATGCTCTCGCATGACTACACACTACACTACACTTACCGAGAGACAGGTGTGTTACAGCAGCTGCTGCTAGTTGATCGTTACACATTAACAGAGTCGGGTTGTTGACCTTCATTCCTGAACTATGACTGTTTGCAGGTAAAATCCTGATTATCTTCACCCCCTCTAAAACAAACCTGTGTGACTGTAACGTTCTCCAGTATATAAAACTCCAAAATCTCTACCAAATGTCAGAGGTTTTGTTACTGCAGGACAAAAGCAAAGAGTGGCCACTTTTCCCCACATTTAAAGAACTTTCCTTTAAATTTTGAAATAAATTTTGCACATTAAACTCCATTATTTGTAGACACTTTCCAAACATAGAAGAAAAATGCCCCTTTTGCAACAATGAGCTTGAAACTCAAAAACTTCTTCAATGTTTTCTTCAATGTGTACATATGACAGTATTTTGGGCTGACTTTTGTTTTGACTTTGACATTTTGGTAAGGACATTGTGACATATTGATCTTTGACAGACCCTAGTTCTCTAGCAATGAAAATATATATTACTAATCTGCTCATTTTCTTGGCCAAATTTGTTTTATTCATAAAATGAAATTTCTGAAAAAAAATCACCATCTTTTAAACTTTTAAACAATCTGATCTGAGAAATTACTTCCAAACACCGTCATACTTAAAACATTCGAGCAAAAAATGAACCAAAAACATTGACCTCTTCAATTTTTTTTTAATTTTATATCAGTATAACTTTACCTCTGGTATTTAGTTTCACTTTGTCCTGCCTGTTTTTCATGTTCTGCTTTAAATTTATTCCAGCTTACTTTGATGCATTATTTTGTTCATTTGATGCAACCTGTTATAGAACAGTTTGTATTGAATTCTATTTCTATTTTAAAACTGTTTTCCCCACAATGTGACTGAGATCTGGGGGTATCTCACTGCAGGGAAACAAAAAAAAATCACATGGAATCTTTTAGGTTTTGATTTGCTCTAACATGTTAAATCAGAATATCCATGTAAGCGCTGTCAGGGTTTGTGATGAATTTCTGTTTGAATTTGGTTCGGATCTGTGAATTTTCTTTTTTAATCAATTTTCCAGTCTCTGGCTCTTGTTTTTGTATAGAGAATACAGTGTTATAGACTAAACAGTTAATCAGTAAATCAGAATCAGCTTTATTGGCCAGGTGTGTTGGACATGAGGAATTTGACTCTGGTACAGCGGCTCTCAATGTGCATGTACATATCCTCTTGCAAGGCAACAGCAAGGGGCAAGTAAACAAAACACCAACATAACGCTATGTAGTATAACAAAATAAATGGTATAAACGAGCAATAAACAATGCAGACAGACAAAGGAATGTTCATTAGGACAGGAGATAAAAATGGAGTCCTTAAAGATAGAGACTTATATAATCTGTACAATGTATATTTTACTGGTTTTGCACTGGGGGAAGGTGTTGCTCTGGTGGTTATTGTCCAGTCATACTGTTGTGGGTTAAGTGTTAATCAGAGTGATGGCCTGGGGGAAGAAACTGTCCTTGTGCGTGGTTGTCTTGGCGCACAGTGACCTGTAACGCCGTCCAGAGGGGAGGAGTTCGAACAGATTATGTCCCGGGTGTGAGCAGTCTGCAGTGATCCTCTCCGCCCTCCTTTTTACCCATGAGGTGTACAGGAGTGCCCATGCCCTCCCTGGAGGGCAGGCTTGCACCAATAATCTTCTCTGCAGTCCTGACTGTCCGCTAGTCTGTTCCTGATCAGCAGATTTTTCAGTAATGGAAAATAAACAGTAGTTGGCAGCTCTAGCTGTCAGCAACTTAACCAGAAAGCAACTTGTTATGCATTCAGAAGAGTTAATGCACATATGTAAATCCTTGTTGATCATCAGGTTGTTATGGTACTGTCGTTTTTTTCTGAATGGGGATGGATGATTATGGTGGCAGCATTGTGTCAGCATTGTGATAGACTGACTACCTGTCCAGGGTGGACCCCGCCTCTCGCCCAGTGTCAGCTGGGATTGGTTCCAACCCCCCTGCGGTATAGATGATGGATGGATGGATGGGTGATTGTCACTAGCACTGTGGTCTTTGTTTTTCAAGTGCTCTGCCATTTCTGCAGTTGCCTTACAAATGTTGATGATGTAAAACTATGGTGCGCTGCACCAAGGTGTGCACTCCACCTTACAGTGAGCATAGCAGCAGCTTCTGTCGCTGATCATGTGTATAGAGCTTTAAGTGTCCTCATGGGTCTTGTTTGTTGTGGTTATTCACAAAGCTGATTACAGGCTCATTGTACATTTCTGAGAACTGGCCTGAGGCTGCTCTGTCTGAGTGAACTGTCACACCCCATTGACATTAGACTTGGAGGGAATCCCTGCCCAGCTTAACGATTGACTAGCTGTTTGATGTTCAGTCACTTTCACACAGCCATAGCACACTGACGTAACCACTGCAGTGTTTATCTGCTGATAGAAGCCTTTAATTGTCGATAATTGACTGTCAGCAAATTGAAATAATATATTTGCAGCTCTGACTGATCACAAATAGACCCTCAGATATTTAAGCCATTAAAGCAACATGGAAGTTTTTTGCTTAATGAAGAGGTGAATGAGTGTCAAAAGACCTTCAAGAACAATTTTTCATTTCTTTTGTCGCCGTGGTTACTCTGTCTTCACTCCCTGCTGTTTCCATGGTGACCAACTGTTTGCTCCACTCTCTTCCTTTTTCAGTGTCATCCAGGCTCCGTTACCACTACCTGTAGACAAGGTAAGCACAGAAATGTGTGGTGGTGGTGTTGTTGTCCTGTCCCATGTGCTAGGTCTGCCTCAGATTTCCCTGTATGGCTGCACCTCTCTGTGTGTGTGTGTGTGTGTGTGTGTGTGTGTGTTGGTTACTTTTTTCACACATCGGTAGTCTCAAATATTATTGGAGGACATTCACTGTTTGTGATGTGTAGACTGTGCATGTGTCTATGTATATGCTTATGTACAGCATGTGCTTTCCACCTCTTTGCTTTTTCTGTTTGTCTGCCTTCAGTTCAAACACAAGACAACTGTCACTCTGTTTCTATGATGTCCCTGTGCGCTTTCTAGGTTGCAGCCAACACTCCCAGTATGTACTCTCAGGAACTGTTCCAGCTCTCCCAGTATCTGCAGGTAACAGACTGACACCTACTGGTCATTTTATGAAATACACCGAAGAGGATTCATATACATAGTAGGGATAGGAAATGATTTTCATATAGTCATTAAATAAATAAAAAAAAGAATATTTTATGAGATTATGGTTTTGTCTTTAAAAACAAAGAGCCACAGTTTTTACCAGTGCATTGAAATCACACGATAACGAGGTCACTAGAAGTGATTTCATTAGACATTAGAAATGTTACAGTACATTTTAAACATTACATAGCAAATCAAGCATTGTAAACTACTGTGAACACACAACAGGAACTCTGCAGCCAGAGTGGCTTAAGAAGTAGAGTGATGACATCCCTGCTGCCTCTATAAGGATGTTTTTAACATTTTTTACAGTAATAGTGGATCATGGGAACATTAGCAGCAGCGCCACAGAGTTATAGTGACTTGGCTATTATCTTCCAAAGTAAACAGTTGAAATCAGTAGCATTAATTATACTTGTGATATTTTCAGTTAGTGACATGTCAAAACACATTTTACAACCTTTTTGACTGTCTCTCTCAAATATTGTGTCACTTTGATAACTAGGTACCCAGCTAACTAGCTGAATTAGCTGAGCTATTGACAATATCAGAACAGAATTAGTTTGCAAGGCTCTACAAGTCATCAAAAATGGTAATTGCTGATAAATCCCACTGTTCCCTACTAGTTTTGTATCTGTTTATGAAATGGTTTAAACTAAAGCCCTTTGTAGTGAATTACTTGCAAAATATTTCTTGTCCTAGAAGAACACATCTAAATAAAATTTTAGATTTTATTCTATTCAAGGTAAATCGCCATGTTGCTTTTGTTCTTCCTGGTTTATTATTTTTTTTACTTGTCATTGATTGCCAACCTGTTTTGCCCCTTTCCCTTCTCCCTGTCTGTCTCTCCAGGAGGCCTTACACAGAGAGCAGATGTTGGAGCAGAAGTTGGCCACTCTGCAGCGTGTGTTAGTCTCCACTCAGGAGGCCTCAGAGAGCAGCTGGCAGGTAGGAAAACGTCAGCCCTGATTGATTGATTTATTCTTTCAAGCATGTAAAGATAGTCGATATGTCAACACACAGAATTTCACACATATCCACAAATGCTAATCCCTTATCAATGTGCTTATACCTAGTATGTGCTTGAATGGAGTAGGAAGAAGTCAGACTTATCCAGTCCTACCCCATGACATCATCTTACCATCATTGGTTTGCAAGCAGCATCTCTACATAGATAATTTTGTTCTACACCACACAAGTAATATACTAAAAAATTATTACAGATTAACATTCTTACATAATTACATTCTTAGATAATTGTCTTCTACACCACACAAGTAATATACTAAAGAATTATTACATAGTGTTAACATTCTTACCCCACACCCACATACCTTTATATTTATGTTTAAACTCATCAATTCTATTACTATTTTTAATGTCCACCCTTAAATTATTCCATAGTTTTACTCCACTTATGGAAATACAGAATCTTTTCTTGGTTGTACGTATAGCATGAATTTTATAATTTAACTGACCCCTTAAATTATATCCCCCTTCCCTTTCATTAAATAGTTTTTGAATTCCACCAGGTAATAAATTGTTCCTGGCTTTATACATAAACACAGCAGTCTTATATCCCACTAAATCAAAAAATTTTAACAATTTAGACTGTATGAAAGCTACATTGGTGTGATCCCTGTACCCCATCTTATGCACAATTCTTATCGCTCTTTTTTGTAATATATACAATGGTTGAAGTGAGCTTTTGTATGTATTTCCCCAGTTTTCAACGCCATACTCTAAGTATGGTAAAATCAATGAAGAATACAAAATGCGTAGTGCTTTCCCATCCAAAATATATCTAACCCTTGCCAATATCGATATATTTTTTGCTATTTTGTGCTGAACATATCTGATATGAAATTTCCAGGAGAATTTGTCATCAACCATGACACCTAGAAATTTAATTTCATATACTCGTTCTATATTAGCTCCCCCAATATTCAATTGAAATT